TTTGATTCATGTGCTAATTGTGTAGGTCCTTTGGGGGAATACAGCAGCGAAGCAGTGTACTTCCTGATTAATGCTGGGGAAGAGACATGCAGTGCTCAGTGGATAGCAGTTAAGCATCTCTAGTCCCAGCTGAGAATATGGTTCCATTATCTCCCAGCTGCATAGACAATCCATAAGGGCCTGTTCTGCCTGGCTGATCAGCGTAGTGGAAGGAGTGACATGCTGAGAGCTGAAATCTTTGTTTGATTTGCTGTAAAATGTAAAAGAAACTGGGACATTTTACTTTACAGTTCTGTAAGTACCAGTTTTGCCTCTAAAGCTGCATGTGAATGTGACTTTGCCTGATGCATTTGATTTTCTATTCCACTGCTCTTTGTTGAATCTAACTGGTGAGACAGGGTATAATCTGTTTAGAGCTTGCAGTTTTCTTTGGCTCTTTTATACAGGCATGTAATTGATTCACTTAAGCAAATTAGTTGTCTTTTTTTCCAAAATGCTTTTTATGAACATTAAAGATCTCGCTACATAGGTAGTAGTGTGTTGTTTCAAAGGCTCGTGTGAGACATCTTAAAGAAGGCATTTGCGTCTTTTACAGTTTTTCTATGCATATCAATGACAAAAGTATGACCAAAAATTATTTAGCTGAAACAGGTGCTTGTATTCTGTATTATAATGTAGAAAATACTTGTTAACAAAATAGTTCATTCAAGCTGCCAGCTTTCTGTCTTCTCCATAAACACAGTGTGGGAAAAGAGGAGAAGTGAAGTGTTCAGTGAGTTGCAAAGTGCTTTAAAACTTTCTTTTAAAAATGTACATACATATGTATAATGGAATGTCTGTGGTATTGATTAATTTCACTTAAATGTCGAAGATTGAGTTAAAATGTAAGACAAGCATGTGCTATATACAGTAAGAATCTCATTTTGTTTGCAAGGCATATTGTGAACACAGATCTGACTAACTGAAATTTGGAGTAGGTGTTTTATTTATTTTTAGGAAAAGATGCAATATATCAACATGCTTTATATAGCCCTGATTACTGTAATATCTGAGCAGCCATCATGTTAATATATGTCATTTACAAAGATGCATTAATCTAGCACTGTACTTGCAGAAGAAATAAGTTTTTGCAGTGACTTGCAAATTATAAGTGACAATAGTGGCATTAAAATTAATATCAGTATTAATATTATTTTTTCTGGCTTTCATGGGCTTTGTCTTCCAGTTCTATACATTTATGTAATATGTGGCTTTACATACAGTGCCCTTGGACTTCTTGTGCTATAGGTCAAGCCCTAGAATAGATGAAAGTAATTCAAAATTGTTCTGGTTTGAAGGGTAGAATAGTCAGACAAGCTGAATGAAATCCTGTGATGCAGAAGGTACATAAGGAGTGCAAATATTTTTTTTCCTGTATAGGCAATAAGTCTCAAAGCTGAGAAAACCACAGGCTGTGAAGTATGAAAGTGTCTTTCTGGTGAGGACAGAGTATGTTCTCATTAGACTTGGTTAAGGGGAACAGCACAAGAAAGAGTGGAGTCACAATAGATGGCTACCTGCGGTAGTACAGATATTCTCAGATCCTAGGGATCCAGGAAGAAAATAAGGAAAATATAACATTTAGTAAGAGGAGATGCTAGAGAATGAATACAGTATTTCCATGTGCCTTCCATATGCTGGGATTTTAGTGTGGAGGTTTCTGCTTCCATGGAAAAGGGTAAGTCTGAATTAAGTATTACAGAAAACATGTTTAAGGTTAATTGGTCTCAGCAACTGCCTCCTAAGCATTTTTTTTTTCATAATTGAAAGAAGAACTTGTCCTCATTTCAAAATAGAAGGCATCTCCAATGAGCCCCGCTGTAGAAAGAGCTACATGGGTATTATGATCATTTGTTTCTTTAGTAATGGTGTTATTTCAGCATTTCTGTAATGATTATGAGCACATGCAGCATGAAATGTGATACTGCTCTAATATGCGTTAGCTAAACCAATGTACTTAGTTATCTGTCAGCCTTTTGCAAATATGTATGTTTTCATAAAAATGAGAACTATCATTTTCATTTGTCTCAGGTTTTTACACTGGGAGATTTGTTTGCTCAAACTTGACCTCCTAGTCAAACTTCCCTAGCACATTTAAAATTTACTGGTTTGCGACTATACAGCATGATTTCTCCAAAGATTTTTTTTTTATTATTTTTATAGCTGTTATTTAGTTTTCAGTTTAGTTTAAACTTAGAACTAAGATTTTGAGGAGAGTACAAGCTATGAGGGAATGTTCACTATTCTTACTTAGCCTCAAGACACAGATATTTTGAATATTAGTGAGCAGTGTTTGCCATTACTAATTTTTGTGTTGTTCCTTATCATTTTGGGAGATTTGAAAATTTAAGCAACTGACTGCAACTGTGATGGAGTAGTCAGAAGCAGCTATGCAAAATATCCCCAAAAGGAGCTGAAATATACTCGTGGAAGGCAAAAGTTGAATTCCGGAACACTGTGCAGTTTGTTGCATAGTGCTAGCACACCTTGCAGGCAGGTGTGAACTTGAAACAAAGGGTTTTGATTTCAATCCAGATTTGCTTAAAAATGTATATGAGGGAGAAGAGGGAATTAAAAGAAAACTGCAATGCCAGCAATGCTGCAGAACAACAACACAGCAATTATTATTGTCCATACTGAGTAATCAAGTGGTTTTACTGGTCTTGTAAATAATAATGCTTAAGCTTACAGCCCTGGATCAGCAAGATACTTAAACATGTGCGTGGTTTTTAAGCACATGGGTTGAAGTCAGTGAGACTCCTTATGTGCTTAATGTTAAGTTCATGGTTAAGCACTTGGTTGAATCAGGGCCTTATATAGCACTTTCCGTATGAAATTCTCAAAGTGCTCCACAAACTGATGAAATAAGCCTCACGAGGCACCTGTGCCCTGGCTCAGCATTATTATCCCTCTTCTACAGAAGTGGAGATTGAGGCACAAAGTCACTTGGCAGAGACTTGCTCAAGGTCACAATACAGCAAGTCTGTGATGCAACCAGAAGTGTAAACCTTTGCACCCAATTTCTAGTCTCCTGTTCTAACTACTGGTCACTTCTGAGGTACAAAAACAAAACAAAACCACTTGTAAGATTAGGAACAGTCCTTGTCACTTTGATCACCTACACTGTTAGTGTCTCTCCACAGCATTAATTAATTAATTTCCACATAAGACAAAAGAAACTTTAAAAAAACACTGTACTGGTTATTGCAACTTAAAAATATGGCATAAAATTGCCAGAACAATAATAGCATTCATCTTTTCAGAGGTACAGAACTTGCTGAATGCCAAATGAGTCATTACCCATTTGTTTCTCAGAAGTGGAGTTGTACATGGGGAATTTTATTTCTCTAATGTTAAGCTGTTGACATGACAAAATTAGGTCAATGCAAATTATTTGCTAAAAATGTGCACGTAACACATGATTTGTTGCATATTACAATCACTAACCCTGTAGAAGTTTTAACTCTGAAGCAACCCAGATGAGCTAATGTTGCTGCCCACCCCAGAAAATAATAATCCTGGGAAATCCTTATGATGCATTGATTATGGATTTATAGTAAGTACTTTCAAACCTGTGGTTCTTATAGGACCCTACTTTAAACATATAGTTACTGACCTCCAATTGTTGCTTCATCACATGAGGATATTTTAAAATGAGCATTTGTTAAGTAACTGCAAGAAGATCAGATTATTATGAGTTAGTTTTCCACAGGCTAATTTGTTGAAAGAAAGAAAGAAAGAAAGAAATAGCTAGCTAGCAGAGAGTGTGAATTTGTTCATGTACTTTACACACAAATAGAGACAATAAGAAATTATTGAATGAGCACTTCTTTAAGAGCTGATGGACATTGATTCTCACTAACATTCAGTGCTTGTATGTTGATGTGGAGGAATATATGTAATATAAAACAGGACAATGCAGTATTTTCTGGATGCTATGAGTGCACAGCATACAATTGTATGTAAATATGCACAAACTTCTTGAGAGAGAGAATGGTATTATTTCAGGTTTGCTGTGTTGTACTTTAGGAATTCTAATTTCACCCCTGATTAAATTTATATAGTGTAACATATTGAAGCAGGAAATAGTTAATTTTTATGAGATCAATGCAGTATGTGAAAATCATTTGCTTTTGGTTTTGCAAGTATCAGTATGCTTGCTGGACAGCACAGAGCCAATTAAGTGAAAGCAGCGATGCAAGATTATCTATACAGTTTTTGTCATTGCATTCTTCCTCTCCATCCAGGCAATGAATTTCCATATTAAAGTGTAATATACTCTTATCCACATAGTCTCTCTCTTATGCAGAATAGAATGGTGACAGGCAGGATTTCTTTACACTGTTAATTCTTTAGCTGCAGTCTTATATATTTTCTTCAGTGGCATCATGGGTTTAAACCAATGAATGAGAAGATTTTGGAAATGCAGTTCAATATTTGTTAGTTAATAGTTCCAATGGTGTACCAGACAGTTTTATTGTATTGTATGAGAAAGCTATAAATCATAGACAAGACATGGCTGTATTTACACAGGGACCCTTCTGGTAGAGTCCTTTTTTTCTATAATTAAAAGGTACATATTCTCAAGGAAGGAATAAAATAGTAGTTTTGTTTATAAAGTAAAACAGGATTAGCTTGTTTTTTTTCAGCAAGGGAAAGCCAGTGATTTAATGTTAAGAGGAAAGCATCCGAAGAATTGCAAAGAAATAAAGTATATCTTATGGCAAGATATAGAATGCAGTGCTGTAGATTTTAGAGGAGATGGCAGAATTTACAGAAGCTGACTATCCCAGGCAGTTGGCAGAAGGGACTAAAGAAGACAGATTTAAGACTTGCCAGAAGGAAACCCTATATCAGTGGGTAGATTCAAGTGCCCTGCAAAGGAAATGTAAATAAGGCAGTAGAATCTGAGAGTTCTGTGGTCAAATGAGATGCACTGAAACAGCTTCAAGCCGAGGAGAGAAGATGTGGTGTATGTGGAAAAATATCAACTATAAGACCACTGGGACAAATTCAGAAACAGCTGCCGCTTGCATTGGTAAGTTACTGTGTAAATGATTATGAAATTTGAATAGCTCATAGTGAGATGTTAAAAAATGTTGCCTCTAGCTGCTTTTTGATGCCTAGACGTGTTAATAAAATTACTGTGTATGCTTTTAAAAAGTAAAAACTACTACTCCGTGGGAAGTTGTTACAGTGATACTAGATGTGCCCTAGGATTCTGCTTTAGAAACACAGAATCTCCCTGCAAGGTTACATGAATGTGGTTACCTGATAGGCGTTACTAAACAGTTTTCAATGTTGCAGCCGTGTCAATCCCAGAATATTAGGGAGACAAAGTAGGGTAATATCTTTTATTGGACCAACTTCTGTACATTTCCAAGACCTGAAGAAGAGCTCTGTGTAAGCTCGAAAGCTTATCTCTCTCACCAGCAGAAGTTGGTCCAGTAATAGGCATTACCTCATCCACCGTGTCTCACTAAATAATAGGAAATTTGTATATATAAAGTACACTTTCTAGTCTTGGGAGCGTATTATTGTGAATGAGTGATTCAAACTGAAGTGTGTGTATATGTGTAATTATACCACAAATATGGAAAATGTGTTTAGTTAGCAAAAAGACATTTCCTAAACCATTTGTATTGCCTTCTCTGAGTCTGAGACTCAAAACCATAGTACTGTATCTAGGTGCTATAGACATTTAGTAAAATGTTGTTTGCCTTCCGGACATATTATTAATGAACAAGGTCAGTCATTAGGCACAGTAATTTGAAAGTGGTTTCTTGTTCTGCTTCTTTGGATTTTTGTACGTTCAGGCACCTTTTAGAGTAGAAGGGCTGCTTGCACGGAAAGAATTTCGTGACACTAAAATAAATCCTTGGGGTGGCTCTCAGAACAGAGGAAATATTGTGATCAAATATGGTTTCTAGGGCGTGTAAGTGATGTATGTTGCAAAAGCAGATTCTGTAATTTGAAGTGTTCTGTTTGTCGTCTTCAGTTATTGATATATTTATGGAGTGGGAAGATGCAATGGCTAAGAGATACTCCTGGGTCCCACACACTCCCTGCCCTGGCAGTACCCCCTTTGGGAAAACTTATTTACTACTATAACCTCTCTTAAATTATTGTGTTTCTTGTTGAAACTATGTAGAATACAGTACACTTAAAAAATTACATATGTTAGATAACTCTATAGCTACACTTGTATGAGAGAAAATGCTATTTCACTATTTTACAGTAAATGTAGCCAAACTATTGAGGATAATATTTAACAAAATGTTCTATTTTGAAGGTTAATGCTTCCCCGCAAATTAGAAAACCTTGTGTAAAAATACAAACACAGTATTTTTTTTATCTTGGGAAGTTGCCATGTAGATGGAGTAATATGTTAAATGCGTAATAAAAGAGGTGTACAAATCTAGATTTTTCACCAAGTAGATTGACTTCAACATATCTCACAATATCCTCTTTATATGCTTCATAAGATGGAATTGGTATCCTACTTGAAGGACTAGATAAAGACTAGAGACAGTTCCCTGACTTCTTTTTTCAAGTAAAACTAAGCAGCTGCAGTTAATGAAGAGCTAGTAGATCATCCCACATCTGTCAGGGAGTATTCACCCAACAGAGTGAAGAAATGATGTTAAAGATTAGAGAGGGAAAGTAGAATAGTTGCTAAATTGAGCAGAATAGGCAGCATTGCACTGCACTAATAATAGAAATACTGTAATAATTTTAATCTGTGCAAGATGTATAGTTTTAGAAAGAAAAGCAAGGTAGAATAAAACCAGGTAACTTGTCTCATAATCCTATATTGGGCTATACTAAACTTTTCCTATGTGAGGTTGAAAATTATGAACCTAAATGTGGGAATCAGCAAATACTGGTGCAATGTGTTGGCATAACAAACATAGGAGAATATACTTGTACATTCATTAAAGCCAAGTGCATTTTCTGATGGGCAAACAAAACCTCCTTCTCCTTTAACATGATTGTAAAGTCTGGGCTAGCTGGGATTGTGGCTGATTTACTAAATTTTCAAGAGAGTTTTACAAAACTGAGTTTTATTAGAGATGGGCCTAAACTGTAAAGTTCAGCTCTGGGTCCACACTTCCCCAAGGTTCAAAAGTGTTTGGATCCAGGATTTCAGCTGAGACATTGAGACAGTTTATGCATTTTGGATTTGTTGCAAAAATGAACTGCCGGGGAAATCTGAAGAAAAGAGTTTGTGAAAACTCAAGGTTTAATATAATGTTCGACCTAAGTCCCATTTTCAAAAGTGACTTCAGCACTTAGAAGCCTTATCCCCATGCACTTTCAATGACATATAAACTACTACCTGCCTAATGGCCAGATTTTTAAAGGTATTTAGGCCAAAAGATGCAGATAGGCATTAGAGGGCTTTTCAAAGTCACTTAGATGCCTAATTCCCATTGATTTCTATTTGTGTAAGGTACCTGTTTGCTTTTGAAAACCACACTAGATGTTCATGTACATCTTTAGGTGTCTAAATACCTTTACTAATCTGGCCCTAAGACTCTTGAAAATGGGACTTGGGAGCCTAAATCACATAGGTACTTTTGGAAATGTTACCCAGAATCTTTGATTGTATATTTATTTATTGGCCTTACGGAATGAAGTGTTAAGTGTTTCAGTGAGTCTTATGAGTCAATTTCTTTCATTTATGATGTCCCTTGTTCTACTCTTAGGCTGAAGTTTAGGTCCACTGTGTCTCTAGCTAAGTTTGTGGAGGTTGTTGTCATGAACTATGTTTCTGTGTTTAAAAAGAGTTCAGAGGCTACAGTATTATTGGTATTGCCTTTGTGGTTGTTGCATTTGCCAATCACAGTGGCTCTGGGGTTTCCCAGCACAAGACCGGGCAGGAAATGCATTAGTTTCTCCAGTAATTCTATAGTTCCTTCTCCTGGAGGTCTGCTAACCACTAGTGGGAGTTGTGCTTGCAGGGAGGTGACAAGGTAGGGATGCTGTAGGTAGCAATCTGTGGTCTTGGGGTTGTATTATCCTTCATCTTTTGATGGTAGCTCTGCTGCCTCCTGGTGGACAAAGGCACCGGCCCACTGGTCAGTGGGTCTCCACTGCCCAGGCACTATGGTGCTTATCAGCTAGTAAGGCTGATAAACACTAAAGGATACGGGCTATTCTATTTCCAGGTCAACCAATAAAAACAGAATTGATACTAAATATACACTATAACCACCCTGATGCATATTTTATTCCACAACTCTTTTGTTTCACCACTTTCTGAATTATTTTAACTGAGTAGCTTGAAGTCCTGCATGAGATTTGAGCTAGCCATCGAAAATGATTTATAACTGACAGCTCTCTTTTTGCAATGCCCAGAGATCGAAGATTCATGTAAGATTAATTGTGATGGAAGGTGCTGACTTTTCTTCTAGCCGTAGAAAAGTGGAGTTTGGTATCTTTATATAGAATGTGCCTCTGAATTCTCACTAGAAAATCCCAAATTTTCACTGTCAAGGCTATTATTAGCAGTTCCCAGTATACAACCTGTTGATATTGACAGCTTTGTTTAACATAGAAAGGACATGAGTGACAGAGTGGTCCCTGATATTAAAAGATTAGGTCACTGTAAAATATATATTACATATTATGTATCTAATATTGTGATCTTAAGGGACAAGGGGATAGTAGGTAGATTCTGATTCCCTAACTCACCGTAAAAAGACACACTGCACTCCACAAATAGTCCCATTGAAATCAGTGGGATAACTCATGGGGTAAGGTGCTATTACATGAGAGCAGGGCTATCAGAATCTTCTCCTAACTATGTATTTTGTGTTCATGATCACGTGTGGGATCTCAAGTATTTAGACCTAATTTTGCCCTCAGCTACGGAAACTAAGGACCACATTTTCGCTATCATTTGTGCCTACCTGATTGGAGTCTCCATTTGCTGACACATTCTGGGTTTTGTGGGCATATGCAGTTGTGATTACAGATTTTAAATATAAATAGAATACACTTAATGAACCATTTTGAAAAAATTAAACAAACAAGACAAAACTTTATGTGACAGGTAAAATTACAATGTTTATAATGTTTCCAAAATTGGTTTCTATCTTTATAGGGTTATATCCTCAGCTGGTATCAAATGGGATAGTCCATTTAAAAAATCAAATGAGCGATGTCATTTTACACCAGCTGAGGATCTGACCCATATTCTTTAAAACAAAAACGTACCTCCTAACTGTTTCTTAATAGCCTGGAAACTCCTTTTATGCTAAGTGGCAGATTGCCTGGTATCAAATTGATGTAGTATTTTAAAGTTAAAGATCTATACACAGAGTGTTAACAAGGTTGTTGCATTTTCCACAGAGACACTAACAAATGATGCAGTCTTAAATATCAATTGATTTAGAATATCTTTTAACCTTACATCAATATTAGGACTTAGTATAACTCTTCCACAAGAAATCTACGGTGTGATCTTTGTACTTCATGTTAGAGTGCATCTTACATACATCCTATGTTATGTTAAATATCATCTCTTTCATAAATTATCCAACATTTTTATCCATTTGATTGTATTGTTGTTTAGATTTTTCTAGGCACAAACATGTATCTGTAGCATTGGTAACCAAATAGTCAAGCAGCCAAGACTTTAGAAACTTGCTTTTGTATTGTGTTTTGCCATCTTTGCAGCATCTTTGCACCAGCCATGCCTCCAGTGCTATCAGTAAAGAACTACATTCTTCTCAATTCTCACCAAGCTATACCAGTTTCCATACCCAGGTCAAGATTTTCAAACTTGATTAGTGATTTTTGGGTCCCCAATTTGGCATGCCTTAAATGGCCCTGATTTTCAGAAAGTGCTGAGCATCTACCCTCTGAAAATTAGCATCCTGGAAGGTGTGTCAAGTTAGGCACCCAGAATAGCTTAGTCATATCTGAAAATCTTGCCCCAGTTTTTAGGTTCTACTTTTATACTGGGCCTGCACATTCTTGGAGGACACATGTATTATGAAAAATCCATTGTGCCTAGGGATGGGTAAACTC